TCTTCAGGGACAGCGAGCAGCCCGCTCGGTGCTTTTGAAGCAGCTGTAATTCATGACACACGCCATACATCAAGTGCATAAGATAGCATTATGGGCAGTGAAATGAAAAGGGTATTTGCAACATTAGTTCCCTCATCCTGCGAGGGACGTGATTAAATGATTAATGTAATGCCCCCTTTTTGCATGCGCACTCTGAAACAGCAATTAGGCACAGGGCTGGAGAAACCCACCCTCCCCTCTCCCTCACTCCTCACCCCTCCTTTCTTTTATTTTAATGCTACCTCATTCTTGATTTATAATGAAAATTTCACGAGCATTAGACCAGAAATGGTTCTCAAAGTATACGCGAGGATTGGATGGTTTTAAATGTGTGTAATTGAAAGGTACAGAGCTATTGTGATTACAAATGTCCTATTCAGCTTTTGATTGGCAGGCCAACAGAAGGCCGCTCTATGAGTTCTTGTTTTGCACATTGCCGATAAACAAGAAGGAGGAATATGTGGTGGCAGTGTGCATTGCTCCGTGTGTGTATCCATGTGTGTTTGTGCAAACTGATGATAATGTAAGCGAGTGTGTTCTTAGATAAAGCCAGACAGAGCGAGGGAGATTTTGTACCCCCTCTAATGCACTGGAGGCAGTGCTGTAAATGATCATTGAAGGGTCTGCAAGCTAACCTATAATTACTGCAGATAAAGTGGCAGCTCTGGCATTTCATAAGCATGCCTCCTCAAAGCTTGCTTTGTGAGTTTGTCACCAATGATCATTTAGATAGAGGCTCATTACCCAGCATCACAACACTTTAGAAACCCCTTTTCGCCCAATGTTTGTGTGTGTGTGTGCATATGTGTGCTTTAGCAGGAATAAAGGTCTATCTTAATGGTGAGGCTCTTTTGTGTCCTACAGACGAAATCCAATCAAGAGAAAAACCCTCATTGACTGTTACGGCTGTCTGGCTGCCTTTTCCTTCTAATGAGGCGAAAACAACCAGATACATTTAATATGTCTGCTTGGCGGATAATGCACCTTCCGTTGAAGAGCCGCTTTTGTGTGTCAAATGTTGCTGGTGTTAAATTGTGTGTATTGTTTTCGGTAAACGAAGAAGACAAAGCCGTTCTGCTGGGCTAGCATCTTTTCTTCTCAGCAGAAAGCAGCGCTCAGGGCGGTGCTGAAGTTCGCCATCTAACCCGGCACAGGCCTATTGTCATGTTAAACACGGCACCACACACCGCCATGTTACTTCTAATTACCTCACAGTGGAACAATGCCTCCTAACACTATCCTATAGATAATTATCCCGGTATAGAAATATTATCATTAAAACAAAACAGTGGTTGAAGTTGATACTGTCATTATCATCCTCCACAGTTTGGATCAAAAGAATAGGTGCTGTCTTCTGTCATGTTTGGAAGATTTTAAAGTTCGTGTTTAACATTTTCTTTCTGTCTGTCTTTCTACTTCCAGGCACCTAAACAGTGAACACGCCCTGGATGACCGGAGCACGGCCCAGTGTAGAGTCCAAATGCAAGTCGTACAGCAGCTGGAAATACAAGTACGTTCCTGTCGAGCAAAAACTCAGCAAGTCACATTTAGCAAACTCATTTCAGTCACTTATCATCCAGACAAAACAATGAAAGTTATGTGAGTGAGAGAAAGGCCAAACTGTGGTCTACTTCCCGACAAGCAGGACCTGCTGAATTCAACAAAGCCACTAAACAAAAGAATCCTCAGGCCTTACAAGGAAAGCCATTATGGCAGTTTTAATTGAATTAAGCGTGTGCTTTATTTTCTCTGCTTTCTTTTTTTGTCTTCTCTTTCTTTCCAATTAATAGCGAGTGCATCTCTCCCGGTCTGCTGTGTTAATTAACTGCACTTTGCACCTGAAGAAAGCTCAAAAGGAGGGAACTATTTTCAGTAGGTGGAGCGTGACCTTATTAAGAAGTCGTGCTGGCTAGATAATGAGAGCTCTGATTGAGCCACATTATTACTCAGCAGCACTGACGACAACCGAGCTCCCCCTTCTTTAAAAACAAATAGAAACGTGTGTTTTTAAAACGGCTCACAAAGTGCCAGCTGGAACTACTCCGTTCTAACCCATCAAGCTTTGCAAAGTTTCATATTTTGGGTCAGATATAAAGTTATTATAATAAAAAAACAGGATCAATCCGACCCAACTTCCCTCCCTTGCTCTCCACCAGAGGCCAACACTTCCTCCCACACATTTGTCGGTCCGATAAACAGTTTGTATTTAATTGTTAGGCATTTGGTTTTAAAGTAAATACATTCTGTTGCCATGTAAAAAGGGATTTATGTTATTTAATTCATTTTCTGTGTTTTGTTTTTCATTGAAACACAAAGCCATTGAAGCCTGTGCTTTACAGTGTGACCAATTACAGTGGTGCACTTGTGTTTGCTGTCCTGTCTATTCTCGTTTCTCCCTTTCTCTTTCATTCCTCACTCCCACTATCCCTCGCTTCCTCCTTTTTCTTTTTCCACGAGAGCCGTCACTAGTAATGAGGCCCAGCTCTGTGTATGCGTGCACCTCTGTGTGTGTGAACGCCTACTTGCTTGTCTGTTTCTCTGTGTGTTTGCTTCTTGTGTGTGTGTGTGTGTGTGTATCGGGGGGTTGAGCTCCTCACATGGTCCAGTCCCTGTCACTCCCTGTGAATTAGATTGATGATAGGCGATGGCTGGGGCCACTAACTGGACCGGGGAGGCGGGGCAACCTGGCCCCCTGTTTGGAAGACCCTTTCACCTCTCAGCAGCTGCTGGCTGCGCTCCATCCCCCTAACAGTGTCCACAGGACTTTGAGCAGACACTCAGCACCACCTAATTTATGACCCAACTAGCTTGTTACTGTCAGAGTCTCGCTGACCTAAATTCAGCTATTGACAAAAAGATGAAATGCTATTTGTTTAGCCTGACCTCTCCTCCCTGCAGCCTGTCTTACATCACCGGCAAACCTGTCTCCCTTCCTGTCTTTCTTTCCCTGTCTCATATTCTCTTGTACCTCAGCTCTCCTTTAATCCACTCTAACGTCCTCTCTTCTTCTTCTTCTTCTTCTTCTCTCCTGACAGCTTTCTAAAGAACGTGAGCGTCTTCAGGCGATGATGGCCCACTTGCACATGCGGCCCTCGGAACCCAAGTCATCTCCCAAACCAGTGAGTGCATATTGCTCTGGCCACCGTAAACACACCGCGGCTATGAATGAGGCCCACACGCAGAAAATGAACACTTTAAGCACCCGGCAGTTGTGAGAATGAGTGACAGAAGCTGAAAGACGGTGGGGGGGGGGGGGAATGGGATTTGTAATACCGAGTTATATCTGCTTCTTATCAGGTATTGCGAGAGGACGAAGGAGTTTGGGAGTGTATTAGATGGCAGAGCGGTGGAGTCCTTGGCTAAAATGCAGGGTCATTTCTTCGTGATGGATATAATGGCCAAAACAACCTGTTGGCTGCTGATGGCTGTTTGGCTCTGTAGCACTTGAACATGGAATGAGAGAGAAGAAGATATGTCATTTTAACAACAAACACCTGAAAATTACAGCCGAGTGGCGAAGACGGTGTGATGTTGACATAAATACCCGCCACTACTGAAATTGGTTCCAGAGAGAAAAGAAAATCCAAAATTGTGAAGGGGTCATTGAAGGAAAACGATGTCATTCTGCATTTCTTTCCTTTCTATTGCCTTTTACTTTTTGATGGGATGATTACAAATGCATTTCTCCCACCCTGTGTTTAAGATTTTTTTTTGCCCAGTTTTGAAATATTTGAGAGCAAAACATTGTTTCTGCTGCTCAGTAAGTGCTGCTTACAATAGAATAATTCCTCCTCATCATAGAATGTAGATAATCACAAGATAGCATAATTATCCCATAATTCCATCAGGAATCAAACTCCCTTTTTATTATTCAATCTCTCACTCACTCTGTAGACTTTTTTTTTTTTAAATCTTCAAAAACTCCAGCAGCTTGGTTCCATCTCGTCCAATAACGCATTTGCAGCCTATAATCCACGCCTGAATATGAATGAATGATGCTAATGAAGTATTGCATTACATAAAGCACACATGAAAGGGCAGCTAATTGCATTTGATGGTGGGGGAAATTCAGACAGAATTCTTAAACGAACATTTAAGTCTTCAGTTTTAAGTCTTGCGTGTGTATTTTTTTTTTTTTTTGAGGAGGTAGGATAAGGATTTGGTGTGGGGAACAACAGCGGAGCAAAGGTGACATAACAAAGAGAGATGATTGGTGGATGATTGGTGGATGTACATTAGACATTTAATAAATAAGAAGTCAAAATGTTACATTAGTGAAGCCCACAAACGACACTGCCAGACGAATACAAGACAACGATCCCTCTCCAATATGACCCTATTTATTCTTCATTAAATACTACCTTATGGCCTTCGACGGACAAAAACCAAAGTTAGCTCCAGTTACTGAATAATAACACATCTTTATCCCTCATAACCTTGAGTGTGTATTCAGATGAGCAGAGAGTTGACAAAGTGCCCATCAAAAAAAACATGCAAACATGTCACGCTTGTTGCCGTGCCTCGTAGGTGAAGAGGCGGCAAAAATTATGTTTTCACGTTATAAATATACATGCCTATACATTAAGGCATTTATTTTGACTTTAGTTTGCATACTTCAAGGTGTTTTCTGTTCTGCTAAATGTCTTGCCGGATGCAGGGGATACCACTCACTGTCATGAGCTCAACCACTATGAATTAAATGGCAATCAATGAAATGAATAAATAGATGATTGGGTTAGGTTAATGTCAAATAAAACAAAAAAAGTAGTAGATTCAGAGAAAAGAAAAAGCCCAGTGCTTGTTTTTTACAATTTTTTTAATAATAATCAGACCTTTTGCTTTATAGATATAGAGTATATACTTTCCTTGACCCCCCCCCGCCCCAACTATCGTCCTCATTCTCTGTACTGAGGCCTGTATATGCAGCCAGCCCTCGTCCCATCACTGTAGCAGCTCATTAAAGCCAAGTGGGTATAATTATCATCTGAATCCCCCTACATCCACCGGGCTCTCTCAAACTTGACATTTCATCGTATTTATCAACACATGCCTCAAATGACCGCTGATACCTTCCCCTCAGCCCCTCGCTCCATCTCTCAGCGCCTTCCCCCCCACCACCCCCACCCCCAGTTCCCTTCCTTCTTTCAAGTCGCTTTTAATTCAAACTCCGGCGTCCAATGCTTTCCACTTGTAGACTCACAATTAAGGCAATTTGGTTTGAATATGTAACGATGTCATTACCATTCCGGCTAAATTAGCGCGGAGACTAAAAGGTCAGTTAGGAATTTTCCACTCGGTTAGAGCCTCTCACATGAGATTTGGGAAGCGAAAGTGGTGGGAAAAGGCCGGACGATTAGCGAGCGCGGTTGGCGTTCGTGCCAGAGGTGACTCTCCGGTCCCTGATGTTGAAGGAGACAAAGACTGAGTGCCATAACTGCCCACACAAGTTTGTTATATCTAACTTTAAGAGTACTCTCAAATAGAAAGAACATGACATTCTACTACTTGTTATACATCCTCAAGTTAATCAGCTATTACTGTTATAATATCTAGTTGTGTTTTGTTTTAATAGCAGGGTTATTGGGTGATTTGGCCGAGAGTTCCTGCTAACATCGGCTAAAATAGGAACTTTCATTCCAAATTTGATCTGCTTTCTGCTTCAGTGTGAAAGGGTTATGAGTGGTTGCAGTAGGGGAGATGGAGAAGGAGGGAGGGAGGGAGTGATAAATAGAGAGATAAAGAGAGATGGGGCCGGGATAACACGGAGGCTGATCGTTGGATAATCTCGAACAGCGTGCTCTAATTAGAATTCTTATGATACAATTTGGTAGTTGTAATTAGTGGAGATGGGCTGGCTCCTCTCCACGAGCCTTGTTAGTGGAAACACAGCTGTGTGAGAGAGGAGGGGAGCACACGGAGAAAGTAACGCCTCCCTAATCTTTCCTTATCTCCTCCCTAGCTCAACTTGGTGTCCAGCATCACCATGTCCAAGAACCTGCCCTCAGCATCGCCCCCCAACTTACCTCAGACGCCCACCACGCCCACAGCCCCCATCACCCCCATGACTGGCATGCCCCAGGTGCCCTCAATACTGGGAGGAGCCAACGTCCCCAGCATGGGAGCCATGCGCAGACGCCACTCGGACAAATACTCCATGCCTCTGTCGTCAGGTAGGACCAACTACTCAGCGCTGAGCATGACACACACACACACACACAAATGCTACGTCAGCGCAGGCAATTCAGTTTCAAGCTAATCTGATCACATGATGTTTAAATACAATCCTGAGAAATGGGCAAAATCAAAGTGTCTTTTTGTGTTTCAAGGAAATTCACCTGCTTGAATACATTGTTAATTGACCCTGACACACACACACACACACACACACACACACACACACACACACACACACACACTGATACGTTAAAACATTTGTATTTTTTATTGATTACATTCAGATTATTTCCCCCAAATGTAAACTCTGCACTATTAATAGTACTCAACCCATAATGGTGTTGTAGTACTCTTTTAGAACACACACAGACATGCTCGTGAACACACACTGACATAAACACACACCACCACAGAGGCTTATTGGTCTTAACCAATGTGAGACGTCTGCTGCGGTTTATGAAAAGCAAAGCCTGTGTTTAATCACTCTATATGTAAATAGACAAGAACTTCCTCTGTGCATAAATATTACATGAATGTTAATTAAGTTCAAATAATGGTGAAAAAAACTACAATATTTATTACATTAAGACATTCCATGTATTAAGCTTTGCATTTTAAACGGTCCGTCTTTGATGTTTATATTTACTCTGCGTTTAGCGTGAACACATCAATTATTCAACTTCACCCTAACTAACTACACGGATCTCATTTTATGGATGTATTAGTGGTTAAGATCCCTCACGAGAGAGATTAATTAAAAATGCATTTTGTTAGACATAGAAAATGCTGATTTGATGTGCTCCCTGTAACCCCTTCCCCCCACCCTCTCTTTCTCCCCCCTTTTCCCGCTCTTTCCCCCCTTGTAATTTGATGAAACCTTGAACAAATGTAATAACTTATGGAATCAAATTTACCCAATTACTTCAGGTGGTGAAACAGTATTTATTTTTCCGGAGATCGCCCCAAACTACGAGTTTTATAAGAACGCAGATGTCAGACCGCCATTTACTTATGCAACCCTCATAAGACAGGTGAGTGGGAAATAAATTAACTTTGCCTGATTAGATTAAAATTAATTGCTGCATGAATCATGGCAGCTCTCTCAATCCGTTGCTGTGTGTGTGTCAGTTAGTCTCGTTAGTAAACCATTATTTGATGTCATCTCATTTCAGGCTATCATGGACTCTGCCGACATGCAGTTAACGCTTAATGAAATCTACAGCTGGTTCACACGCACGTTCGCCTACTTCAGACGCAACGCTGCGACTTGGAAGGTAACCTTGATGA